TGACAAAGCAAGGGCATAACAGATGACTGATTTACTTTACCATAAAAAACGAAGTAGTTTCATCTCTACTGTTTTAGAGGACACTTTTTAGGGATGTTTTCAAGCCCCTAGGGAAACCGCGAGCTTTAAATGTAGAGATCTTTTTTGAAAAAAAGTACTGTCTTGAAGTTTTGGATTATAACTTGGAGTAGCAACTCGCTAGTTAGAGCTAAGCTTTATTGACACTTGACTGCACTTCTACAAAGATCGAGAAGAACAAGAAAATTAATGTTTTTAGTGAAAAATGAATGTTTCTATGTGTATATAACATTTGCAACATTATGATAAAAGCAAATTCTATTTTCTGCTGTTTTATGTTACGACCGTGCCTATTCAGCTACCCTTACCCTAATTTGTGATGAGGGTAGAGTTAGACAAATGAGTTTTAACAAAAATGAAACAAGGTCATAGACTTGTAGGAAGAAGTTTTTTTGGCAACTTTTTTTTACTCTAGCCTTGGCCCCCATTTGTTACACTTTTACGTCGAGCATCAACAGACAAATTTACTTCTCTAGCATCGCACAAATCTTATCTGAAACAAGGTCATACGCCAAGAAGAGTACACCATCTAAACGTTAATCTTATTCCAGACTGGTTATCAATTTACTTCTTCCTCCTTGTCCTTTGTCACGATTTTAGGAGTTTTTCAAAGTAGACTCACGTTTATCAATTTGGCTCTCCTAACAAAAATTGTGCTCTACACGCACTTTTGGAAATCTAAAAACAAATGCTCAAAGGAGCTTAGTAAACAGATGTCAGACAATGTCGGAAGGTTATTGCATCACATGCAATAACTTTTAAATTCTTTAAATAGGATAGAATCAGATATACAACAACTTCTGGGTCTCACACAAATCATACATCGTTCTTGCCTTTTTTCCCAAAAATCAATAGTAAAATCATATTTTTATCCGACATGTGCTATAACAGTACATCAGATAGCGATTTATTCCATGAACGCACATAATTTACCCAGTCGCACACGGACACACTGAAAGAACAACGGCACCGAAATGCTCATCACTGGAGGCTTGGGCTGGGCTGGGACTGACTAACGAATTGGGACACAATACGAGGAATCAGTAGCGCTCAAAGACTCAGCACTCAACGGGTTGAGCTCAGCGGTATAAGGGAGAGGGGGGGGGAAGGAAGGTTATCTACTGCGAGCGAATGGGGCGACAGCGATGGACAGGCAGCACGACGACACGGTTTGGGCTATGGCAAAATCTCATTTTGAGGAGAAAAACATATGTGAATGAGCCCAAGAGTACTATGAGAAGCATAGCAAGAGATGAAAAATGGCCTATAAATACAATGACGATATATTGATTGTTTGGGAATGCAAATAGTGACCAATAAAAATCCGATGAAGCAATCCATACATAAAAATGTAAGTATGCGCCTAATGGGACGACGAGTGCTGCAACTGGAGTGAAAAACGTGCGCGGAGCAGACGAACACAATGTGTTAGAAGAGTGCAGACATTTTTAATGCTATATAATATAGTATGTTAATGGACGGATTCCTACAACGATAATAATGTACGAGGTACGATAAGACGTCGAATCGCCCGTGTGCAGACTATGTACAGATTCGCCTAGTTGGCTCCGGCAGCCACTGCCACCGTTGGATTCACTGTTCGCGACTTTAATTCACCATCTTCCAAAATCTGTGAAAGAAAACATTTTTACGCCCTCTTCCTGCTGAATACTTCCTGCTTTCATACCTCTACCACCTCTTCGCCTTCGTTTTCCGTTCGCTTCGTGACCACCTTTTTACCATCGATGATCTTTGTCGTTGTAGACGTCTTCCGGACAGTCGCGTTCTTCCCAGGCTCTGATGCCGATGTGAAGCGGATCACGGTCGAAAAATGACTAAAATAAAAACAATATTTGCATCACCAGAGAACAAACAAGTAACGAATTTACCAGTCATCATCTTTCTTCTTCTTCTCGTCATCGTAAAATATGTGCACTCGGCTCGACGGGAATTTGTGCTCTAAATTTGATAAATTAAAAAAGAAAAAAATGGTTGATAAATGGAATGTGACTGGAGAAATGAAGATGCATAAGAAATGAAGTTCATCATTGAACAAAAGATTAATAACTAACATATAGGAATATCTAGCTATACTAAGTGCACTAACAGTACATGACTGTTCATCTTTGAATGAACAATTTTATCTATAAAATTAGGTAAGGGATCTATTAAATTTATAAAACTATTTAAAAAAAGTCCAAAGTAGCGTAGTCGTTTAAATCATAATATCTTAAAAGTAAATAGTTACTAAACTCTTAATTTATACTGCTGGGAATTTTTAGATTTTTTTTTCAAGGCTAGAGTAAAATAAGCTGAATAATTGCTGCTTTACAGAATACCTAAGTATATGCGAACAGAATAGTTATAAAACCCGAAACTGCCTTCTAAACCGGTACTAGAACCCCAAGAGCAGTGGTTAGTTTTTCTGCAAAAGGCAATTATCATAAACCTAAGTCGATAAAACTCTAAAAAACTGTAATTGTTTCTCCTCCTGTGTCAGAGGTACTCCTTCAAATTACATAAATCTACAAATAATAGCACCATATGTTCAAATTAAAGGGGCAACGGCAGTGCACAAAGGCGAGACGTCATTGTGCTACGAGAAACAAGCTCTGAGCATTTTTGCAGCAGAACAGCAATTAAATCATAATGAGCCGTACCTGGGTTTACATTTAATGAAGAATACGCAAAAAGTATTCTACAAAAGAATATTCAGAAAAAAGCAATAGCCTCCATGGAAAGAAATAGGAGTCAACTATTTCTTCAATAATAGTTTTGGAAAAAGAATAAATTATTCTTATAAGAACCTTCATAAAAAATCTTGTCTTTAGTCTGTAGAGGGAGAAAAAGTTGCCATCAATTCTATGAGAAAAATAAGCACAAAGCGA